GGCTGGGTTTTTATTACTTGGTCTTCAAGATAGGAAACTTGAAGGTAGGAGTAGTTGTAACAGTGGGAGAATTTGGGCTGTTGACTGTTGTTGGTGTATTTTGTGACATGAAGTGGGGGTCACTGGAGCCTATATACGCAGTGCTGGGAAGTGTAGAATCGGATCTCATCCTGCTATCTCCATCCTCCCTCCCCTCACAGGGCTCACCCCTCCAGCTACCCCTCCCCACCAATTATGGAAGCCCCTGGCTGCTGTCTCACTGCTGGCCAAAGCCAAATCTCCTAAGTCCACCGCCCAGGAGGGAACCCTGAAGCCTGAAGGATTTACAGAGGCCAAACATCCAGCTGCAACCCGCCTCCAAGAAGGGGTCCATGGCCCTAGTCCAGTCCATGTGGGCTCTGGGGACCATGACTATTGTGTCCGGAGCAGGACTCCCCCCAGAAAGACGCCTGCCCCAGTCATTCCAGAGGTGGGCTCCCGATGGAACGTCAAACGCCATCAGGACATCACCATCAAACCTGTCTTGTCCTTGGGCCCAGTCACCCCCCTGCCCCCACGCACAGCTGCCTCCCAGGAGCCACTTGATCACAGGACTAGCAGTGAGCAGGCAGATCCCCCAGCTCCTTGCCTCGCGCCATCCACCTTGCTGTCCCCTGAGGCCTCACCTTGCCGGAATGACATGAACAGTAGAACTCCCCCTGAGCCCTCAGCCAAGCAGCGGTCAGTGCGCTGTTACCGAAAAGCCTGCAGGTCAGCCAGCCCCCCAAGCCGGGGCTGGCAGGGCTGTCGTGGCCGCAGCAGCCGTTCTGTCAGCTCTGGGTCCAACCGGACCAGCGAAGCATCTTCCTCCTCATCCTCATCGTCGTCTTCCTCATCCCGGTCCCGGTCCCGGTCCCTCTCCCCCCCACACAAGAGGTGGCGAAGGTGAGCTCTGATGCCCTGTTAGGTCCTCTTCATTTAGGAAGTCCATGTGCTCTCCTCCAGTTTACTTTGAAAGCTTTTGCACATTGAGTTTGATACATTCAGGCTCTAAAGCTTCCACTTCTGTCTTGGCTTCTGTATTTTCGCCCTTTCTTGGATTACTGAAGGAGGCAAGCTGTGAGAAGATAGCTTCTGTCCTCTATTTGAGTTAGAGATATCCCTGAGGTCTCCTGTTTCCTTGACCAACCCTGCCTTTGGGAGACCATTAGGGTTAGATCTCACCCATGTTTAACCTGTCACGTAGTCCTCACTTCTCTTTTCTTGGTGGGCTGTCGGAAGGTGGGATGGGGGTTGTTAATGGCAGTTCTTCTAATCATCTGTTGAGGAAAGACTCTGGGCAGTTCCATTGTTACTGTGGCCTCATATATTTTCTGACAGTACATTTTTCTCAGTAACAGACCCAAATTTTCCTACTTAATAAGAATTCTTGGTTTTGGAACCAGAATGGCCTCTTGAGAAATGATCTCTAATACAGGTCTAGCAAGTCACCTTCCTTTTACAACATGGTCGCAGCACTGCTGTGAGACATGTTAGGGGAGCAGGAACCCAGAGACCCAGGCCTGGCACCCCCAGCTAATTGTAAGACCTAGGGCCCAGCCCCTTAACTCTTGAGTCTCCATTTATTTTTCTTCACTCACTCTGACTTGTTAAATATTTTTGTTTTTAATTACATAATTGAAAGTGTGATTTGTGCCAAAACACTAAAACATTCCAGATACATCTAAAGTTCATGAGGGCCTCAGTTCGGTCGTCTGTGGAGTTCTTCTAGAACTCTTTTGCTCTGCTTTGCCTTTGGGCTTGACCTTCCTGACTGGGAGGGAAGGATGGGTCCAAGGCGAGGTAAGTAGAATATATCTGCACCATTCCCAGCATTCCTGCATGCTCCTTTATCCTCCAGATCCAGTTGCAGTTCCTCTGGACGTTCCCGAAGATGCTCTTCCTCTTCCTCCTCCTCATCTTCTTCCTCTTCTTCCTCATCTTCGTCATCCAGTTCTCGAAGCCGGTCCCGCTCCCCATCCCCCCGACGGAGAAGTGACAGGAGGCGGCGGTGAGTATAGTATACGATCAGGGAGATTGTGCATCTGGGATGCAAATGCCTGAGGGGTTCTGAGATTTGAGCTACCTAATGTTGGGGGGTAGGGGCTGGTGGCTGATGGTTGGTACCTTCTTCTCATGTCAGGTACAGTTCTTATCGTTCACATGACCATTACCAAAGGCAGAGAGTGCTGCAGAAGGAGCGTGCAATAGTGAGTAGAGGAACGGGTTTTGGGGGGTTGATGGGACTTGCCCCTGGGCCAGGAGCTTGGAGAATCTTCTACAGCAGTTGCCGTGGTTCATGGTGTGTCAATTTTCCTTGTTCCAACATAGGAGGAGAGAAGAGTGGTCTTTATTGGGAAGATACCTGGCCGAATGACTAGGTCAGAACTGAAACAGAGGTTCTCTGTTTTTGGAGAGATTGAGGAGTGCACTATCCACTTCCGTGTCCAAGGGTAAGCTTGGGCCCTAAGGTCAGAATGTCTTTTCTGTCCTGTCCATTTACTTTGATGCTTGTCTCTCCCACTTGCTCTTTGTGCTAGGTAATGTAGGATGACCCCTTCACTCCCACAGTCAAAGGACTGGCCATTTGGGGACTGAGAAAAATCACCCCAGTCCCTCTCTATACCCTGGGAAGTATTTCTTCACCATAGCATGTGACCAAATAGGCATCCTAGCCTCTGCCTCACCTTCCCCACCAGTGACAACTATGGTTTCGTTACCTACCGCTATGCTGAGGAGGCATTTGCAGCCATCGAGAGTGGCCACAAGCTGAGGCAGGCAGATGAACAGCCCTTTGATCTCTGCTTTGGGGGCCGCAGGCAGTTCTGCAAGAGAAGCTATTCTGATCTTGGTGAGTGGAAGAGACCCCGAGGGTTTGGTATACTTCATATTGTCCCCATAAGGGCTCCCAACCTTTTTTTTGAGAGTGGGGCTTTCTTTCATGGAACTGACCTAATACTTAATGTGACAAAGAACCTAGGGGTGGTGGGATGAGAGGAGAAATGAGGGCTCTCTCTTTGACTTAAAAACCAAGGTTATACTATCTCCATCCATTATTGGGGTGGGAGGAGACTGGCTATTTGAGGACCCTGTGGTAGGGAAGTGTTGTCAGAGACCTTGATGTCTGTCTCTATTTTTATAGACTCCAACCGGGAAGACTTTGATCCTGCTCCTGTAAAGAGTAAATTCGATTCTCTTGACTTTGACACATTGTTGAAACAGGCCCAGAAGAACCTCAGGAGGTAACCCTGGGCCCTTCTCCCCCTTCCCTTTTTCTTTGGAGGTGTCCAACCTCCTCCACCCCCCTCCCCCACTTTAGGGGAGAGAGCTGCTAGTGAGGAGATGACTGTTTTATAAAGAAATGGAAAAAAGTGAAATAAAAAATGTGTTAAATCAGATTTTTTAAAAAGGGTTATTTGTTTTTTATAACAGGCATTGAAACAAGTTAACTTGCATTCCTATGTTCTAATGGGGCTGAGGGTTCCCCAGTGTTTGGAAGATCTAAGTCACTATGCAGACTAATAAACACAAACTAGAGAGAATTCTCAAGTGCTGTTGTGCTTCTTTCAATGGTATTAGTGCCAGACATCTCACTTTTCCAACCTGAACACAATCAGGGATGTGCTTACCTCCATTTAATTTCTAGGACCCCTCTTTGGTCAGATGTGAAATCCTGTTGGAACTCTGCTCCTCAGGATGTGTTGTCAGTGAAATCAGTCTTCTAGGGCAGTGCTTTCTCAAGTTTAAAAAGGAATTTGAATTATCTGGTCATCTTTTTAGAATGCAGATTCCGACTTTTGGGTTGGGCCTGAGATTCCTCATTTCAAACAAGGGATGCTGATGCTACAGTCCCAAGGAAGGGATTTGACTATCAAGGACCTAGAGGAAGCGCACACCTGTTCCAAATAAAGACTTTCTAAACAAGACTTTTATGTGCACATGTATTCAGCATTTTAGCTTGAGCGTAATACTTGACACACAACAGGTATTCAGAAGAATGCATGCATGTGAATAGACCTCTGGGAAAGGGGAGATGTAAGAGTATTATCTATCTAGGAGAATGCCTATTTTGAGAAAAAGGAGAGGTATGTCTTCTGAGAAAGTGGATTCTTACCTTTCCTGAGGGGTATGAATGGGAAGTAGTCAAAGGGTAGTGGGTAAAGGGACTGATACCTGCTAATGTGAACTGAGATGTGATAGAGCTTGGTATTAACTTGGCAGGCCTGGGCACTGATTTTTCAATACTCATGACAGAGGCAGTTGGAGGGTTTTCTAGTTCTCCTATAGGGAGAGTTTAGGTGTGAACTGTGACTCAGGAGATAGAAGGGTTATTTCCAGGATTATAGATTTGAAGAGATTGCTGCTGCTGTATCACTCAGGATTGATGCACGAAGGCTTTTCCCTTCACGGAGCTGACTTAATGCTGAATGAATGGGTGGGGGTTGTCTCATGGGCAAATCATGGTTAACGGACGGGCATTTTGGGGATCCTTGAGCCACTATTCATGGATAATCTGAAGGATCCTCTGCAGTGGAGGTGGGAATCCAGAGGCTGGAGCAGTATCTGACAGGGCCTCTCTGGGTGTTAGAGGCAGGGAAAATGAAGGGTGGGAATCGGCTGGCAGCGAGAATGGGGTGATTAGGAAGTCTGTGACCGAGTCTAGTGAGTCCAAGGACAGCTCAACCTGCCGGTCCACTCTACTCTGGAATGCGAATCCCAGCTGCGCTGCCCCTGTGAAAAAAGGTGGCTCAAGCAGAAAGCGCGCGGGAAGCCTGAAGTTTTCCCGCCACTGGCCAAGGCGTGACCCGTGACGTCAGGGCTCCGCCCTTACCAAGATGGCGACGCTTGTGGCACCGGAAAGCGCTCAGATTTCGCCTGGATCCTGCCACCAAACTGGGAGGAACTGCCTTGTGGAGTGTGCCCGCCCCTTCCGCTGTGCGCCCGCGCCGTGCGATGACGTCACAATGGGTCCGCCCTACCCCTCCGGGTGCCGGAGTTCCTGAATACTGCGCGTCGGCAACGGTAGTGACGCGTATTGCCCAGAGGATGGCGGACGCCGGCTTGCGCCGCGTGGTTCCCAGCGACCTGTATCCCCTCGTGCTCGGCTTTCTGCGCGATAACCAGCTCCCGGAGGTTGCCAATAAATTTGCTAAGGCAACAGGCGCTGTGAGTGCGGGCTTGGGGCAAGGGCTGGGGTGGGATGACTACAGGGCTCCGGGCCCTGACAGGTTTAGGTTTCCGGGTACCGAGGTCTCTAGGGTCCGCCGGCCCGGTATCTTCCGGGCCTTTGTGAGAGCCTTTGGAGAGCCTGCAGTCTCGGCACTTGGTCCCCGCGAAGTCCCAGTAGATAGCGTTGAGTCTTGTTGCTTTTTTCCTCTTGAGCGGTGCAGCGATGGCAGCGTGGGATCCTCGTGTCCCAGGTCACGTGGCTGGCGGAGTGCGGCGAGGAGGGAGCGTGGCGTCCCATCCGAGGCATTGGAGGCTCTTGTTGACTTTTTGGGTTTTACGTTGGCTAATGCAAAGCATGATTTGACCATAACTCTCAGATTTACCGGAGACTCAAAGATAAAATTCCTTTAGAAATGAAGGATGGGAGGGATCCCTGGGTGGCGCAGCGGTTTGGCGCCTGCCTTTGGCCCGGGGCGCGGGGCGCGATCCTGGAGACCCGGGATCGAATCCCACATCAGGCTCCCGGTGCATGGAGCCTGCTTCTCCCTCTGCCTGTGTCTCTGCATCTCTCTCTCTCTCTCTGTAACTATCATAAGTAAATTTAAAAAAAATCAAAAAAATTAAAAAAAAAAAGAAATGAAGGATGGGATTTTCGTTGGTAAAGCAGAAAGTGAAAGAGAGTAGAGGCATGGTTCTGCTTTTAGGTATACCAAAGCAGGCCTGAGCATCATAGCCCTACTAAGCAGTGGGCTTGGATCTTTGACTTCTGGAACCAAACACATCTAGATATGGGGCCAGGCTGTCACTTCTTAAGATGTATAACCTGAGCAGCTTGCTGAACTTCTCTGAGTGTTTTCGTTACTACGTAGATGCCGTCATTCACTCTATAGGATATTTGTGAATTTCAATAACATGATAAATATGAAGTGGCAATCCCAGTGCCTGATGCTCTGGAAGCATCAGTGAGTGAAAGCTGTTGTTATAGTCATTTAGAATGTTTCAAACGCATGTAAAAGGAAAATGACTAAGGATGTGAAAAGTTTGGAATCACTTTCAAGAAAAGTGGACATGAGGCATGGGAAAACACCTTAAGCGATGGTAGAGTGAGGGCACCTGGGTGGTTCGGTGGTTGAGTGTCTGCCTTTGGCTCAGGTCGTTCCGTTATCTTGGGGTCCTGGGATCCAGTTTCGCGTGAGGTTCCCTGTGGGGAGCCTGCTCTCTCTCTGCCTAAGTCTCTGCTGCTCTCTCTGACTCTCATGAATAAAAAAATAAAATATTTTTTTTAAAAAAGGAGGGTAGAGTGTACCCTTGACAGTCTTAGCCTTTGACGGTGAAGATAGGTTGTTCTTTGTGGTGGAGTCAAGCTGCATAAGGACAGGATCAAATCAGCTTCAGAAAGGACTTCCTTAAGCTGGGACAGCCTGCCTACCAAGTGATCTCCTAAACTGCTTTCATATTGTAACTTTTTGAATTCACCATTAGAGAGGTTGCAAAAGGTATTTTCACAGTGAGCTGGATGGAATTGGGCCTTTCATTTTTTTTTTTAAATTTTTATTTATTTATGATAGTCACACAGAGAGAGAGAGAGGCAGAGACACAGGCAGAGGGAGAAGCAGGCTCCATGCACCGCGAGCCCGACGTGGGATTCGATCCCGGGTCTCTAGGATCGCGCCCTGGGCCAAAGGCAAGCGCCAAACCGCTGCGCCACCCAGGGATCCCGAATTGGGCCTTTCAGAATCAGGATTTTTTTTTTTTAAATGACAAAAACTAATCTTTCTGGAAGGGTCAGCTGGTGTTTCCTGATGCTAAGCCCTTTATATGCATTATCTCTAATTTTCTCAACTTAATAAAATGCATTGTTTCCATGTTATAGGGAAGAAAAAAGTCTCAGAAGATCAAGTAATTTAATCAGAGTCACGCAGTAATAGGCAGAGATGAATTTCACATCTGTACACGTCTAACAGCCTATATTCTTGTTGGTACTGTGATGCTTTGTCATTTTTTTCATCAACTAGTAGTCTGTATCAGTATAATTAATAGATGAATGTAATTTTGTACTGAGTATGCAAGTTAGTTTTTTAACTAGTATTGGAGGCTAATTTCCAATGATTTAGTATCATAAACCACATTGCAGCAAATGTCCCCTTCTGTTAATATTTGTGTCCTTGTTTCATGGGTAAGGATAAATTCCTAGACAGTGCATTGCTAGAGTAAAGGGAAGCACATTATTAAAAAATATTTTTGAGAGCTCTCATACATGGCAGGGGGAGTGGTGGGGGGGGGGAGAGAGAGAGAAGCAGACTCCCTCATAAGCAGAAAGCCTGTTATTGGGCTGGATCCCAGGACCCCAGAATCATGATCTGAGCCAAAAGCAGATGCTCAACCCCTAAGCTGCTATCCAGGTGTCCCGAAAGCACATTTTTTAAAGGCTTTGACCAGTAGGATTGACTGGGGATAGATGGCAACAGAAACTATAGGAGTAACCCCAGTTTTTGATGTCAAAGATTGAGAAATACATAAACAGAAATACATAAAACATTATTTTTGTCTTAATTGATGCAAGTAGGAGAAGTCTTACAAAGGTAACATGTACACCAAATATAGGTATAAAACAGGTCTTTTTTTTTTTTTTAAGATTTATTCATTCATTCATGAGAGAGAGAGGCAGAGACATAGGCAGAGGAAGAAGCAGGCACCCCACAGGGAGCCCAGGACTCAATCCCAGATCCCAGGATCATGCCCTGAATCAAAGGCAGACGCTCAACCGTTGAGCCACCCAGGTGTCCCTAGGTCTTTTTTCTTTTAAGATTTTATTTATTAGAGAGGAAGGGGGCATGAACAGGGGGGAGGAGCAAGGAGAGAAAGAAACAGACACCCGCCAAGCAGGGAGCCCGGTGTGGGGCTCCCTCTATCCCAGGACCCTGAGATCATGACCTATACCAAAGGCAGACACTTAACTGACTAAGCCACCTAGGTGCCCCCAAACAGGTCACTTTTAATAAGAGAATAAAATAAAACCTAATTCCTCCCTGGAACAGCCAGGATAAAATTTTCTTACTAAGATCTTTTTTCTCCTATAGACCCAACAGGACTCCAACGCCTCTTCCCTCTTGGACATCTATAGCTTCTGGCTCAAGTAAGTCTTTCCTGTACCACTGTGGCTATTTTTTCCCTAAAGGAATTGGGCTGTATTCTTAGATGTGTGAAGGTCCTGATACCCCAAAAGTTAGCCTCATCTACCTCAGCAGGTCCACCAAGACCCTGAAGCGGAAGCTACAGGCAAACGGACCAGTGACTAAGAAGGCTAAGAAGAAGACTTCATCCAGTGACAGCAGTGAGGACAGCAGTGAGGAAGAAAAAGCCCAAGGGCCGCCAGCTAAAAAGACTGGTAAGGCTGGGCAGGGAGTTGGGATTCCCAGAAAGGGATTTGTAGCGTGCCTGTACCACATGGCTGATTCTTAACAGCAATCTTTGATTTTGTTCAGTTGTACCTGCCAAGCGGGCCAGTTTGCCTCAGCATCCTGGAAAGGCTGCAGCCAAAGCAGCAGAGAGCAGCAACAGTGAAGAATCCAGTGATGAGGAGGAAGAGGACGAGAAGAAAAAGCCTATTCAGGTGTGCAACTTTTGGAAGAAAAGGGATCGTTTAAGGAATTAGGAAGAAGGGCAGCCCCGGTGGCCCAGTGGTTTAGCACTGCCTTTAGCCCCAGGTGTGATCTTGGAGACCCGGGATCAAGTCCCACATCGGGCTCCCTGCATGGAGCCTGCTTCTCCCTCTGCCTGTGTCTCTGCCTCTCTCTCTCTGTGTCTGTCATGAATAAATAAATAAAATCTTTTAAAAGTTAAAAAAAATAAAGGAATTAGGAAGAAGAGATCTAAAGTCCTAGGTTGTAGCTTGAAACCAAGAGATGATGATAGGTATATAACAGGTGGTTATGGGGGTGCCTGGCTGGCTCAGTCAGTAGAGCTTGGGATTCTTTTTTTTTCTTTTTTTTTTTTAATTTTATTTATTTATGATAGTCACAGAGAGAGAGAGAGAGGCAGAGACACAGGCAGAGGGAGAAGCAGGCTCCATGCACTGGGAGCCCGACGTGGGTTTCGAATCCGGGTCTCCAGGATCGCGCCCTGGGCCAAAGGCAGGCGCCAAACCGCTGCGCCACCCAGGGATCCTGGGATTCTTGATCTCAGGGTTGTAAGTTTGAGCCCCATGTTGGGTGTAAAGATTACTTAATAAATGAGGGGCACCTGGTGGCTCAGTTGGTTAAGCCTCTGACTCTTGGTTTCTGCTCAGGTCATGTTCGCAGGGTACTGGGCCACACACACAGCAGAGGGAGTCTGCTTCTCTGGCTCCCTCTCCCTCTGCTTTTCCCCTCACTTGCTAGTGTAAGTGAGTGGGCGTACATGTGCTCTCTCTCTTTAAAATAAATAAAAGTAAAATATTTTCTTTATTTACTTTAGAGGGGGTGGGGAGAAGAAGAGAAGGAGAGGGGGAGAGAATCTCCAGCAGACTGCATGCTGAGTGCAGAGCCTGACATGGGGCTTGATCCCAGGACCCTGAGCCAAAACCAAGACTTGAACACTTAACCGACTGAGCTACCTAGGTGCTCCAGAAATGAATCTTTAAATACATATCATAAAATCTATAACATAACACTGGAGAAGAAAATCTGAGGACTTTTCTGTGAGAAGTGACAGAAGTATGAAGTTTGGAAAAAATACAAGAGTGTGAAGTTGTACCCAGAATCTGTAGGAACCCATTCTCTTTCCTGGAAGTTAAGTAGGGTTCTCTGGGACACTGTCTAAGATCCCAAGAGTAAGAGTATGTTTGGTAGACAGTAGGTATTAGGAGCTCTAAGCAGAGAATGGCAGGAACAGGACTGAATCTTTTCTTTCTCTTTTCTCTCTTTTCCTTCTTCCTTCCTTCCTTCCTTCCTTCCTTCCTTCCTTCCTTCTCTTCCTTCTCTTCCTTCTCTTCCTTTTCTTCCTTTCCTTTCCGTGCATACTCCTGTGTGCATGAGCAGGGATGGGGAGGTGCAGAGGGAGAGGGAGAAGCACGCTTCCCGCTGAGCAGGGAGCCTGACACAGGGCTCAATCCCAGAACCCTGAGATCATGACCTGAGCTGAAGGCAGACACTTAACTGACTGAGTCACCCAGACACTGCTCTTTCTCCTTCCTCCCTCTCTCCCTCGCTTCCCTTTCTTTCCTTTTTTTTTTTTTTTATATTTTTTTAATCTTTTTTTTTATTTATTTATGATAGTCATACAGAGAGAGAGAGAGAGAGAGAGAGAGAGAGAGAGAGAGGCAGAGACATAGGCAGAGGGAGAAGCAGGCTCCATGCACCGGGAGCCTGACGTGGGATTCGATCCCGGGTCTCCAGGATCGCGCCCTGGGCCAAAGGCAGGCGCCAAACCGCTGCGCCACCCAGGGATCCCAAGATTTTAAAATTATTTTTAAGTAATTTCTGTACTCAGTGTGGGGTTCAAACTCCAAACCCTGAGATTAAGAGTTGCAAGCTCTATCCACTGAGCCAGCCAGGTGCCCCAATATTTTTGTTTCTTATGAAGAATTTGGTGCCCTTTCCAGACTCTGTCTCTCTCTCTCTTTTTAAAGATTTTATTTATTCATGGGAAACAGGCGAGACACAGGCAGAGGGAGAAATAGGCTCCATACAAGGAGCCCGACGTGGGACGATCCTGGGTCTCTAGGATCATGCCCTGGGCTAAAGGTGGTGCTAAACCGCTGAGCCACCCGGGCTGCCCTACTCTCTCTTTTTAAGTACTCTTATGTCACATGTGGTGCTTAAACTCATGACCCCAAGATCAAGAGTTGCATGCTCTACCAACTAAGTCAGCCAGGTGCCCCCAGATGTTGTGTAGCTTTCCCTTGCTTTTACTGCTCCATTAGCCCCTAAATAGCAAAAATAGTGTAGGATGGTTTCTATTTTAGGATGCCTTTTAGGCACCCAGAAGCTTTTGCCAATTCTCCTTACCATGTGCTTCCTCACAGAAGGGAGTTAAGCCTCAATCCAAGGCAGTCAAAGCTCCTTCAAAGAAGGCCAAGAGCTCTGATTCTGATTCAGACTCAAGCTCAGAAGATGAATCACCAAAGAACCAGAAGCCAAAAACAACACCCGTGGCAGCTAAAGCTCAGGCTAAAGCCTCAGCCAAACCAGGTACAATTTTTGTTCCCAAGGGGCCATACTGGGAGCAGGTTGCTCTGGGGACTGGTATTTGAATTGCTCATTCAGAGGCAGCTGGGTGGCTCAGTCAGTTGAGGATCTGCTTTCAGCTCAGGTCATGATCTCAGGATCCTGGGATTGAGCCTTGCATTGGGCTCTGCACTGGGCATGGAGCCTGCTTAAGATTCTCTCTCTGCCTTTCCCCATCCTATGCCTGTATGCTCGCATGTGTGCACTTGCGCACACTCTCTCAAAAAAAATTGCTGGACACCTGGGTGGCTCAGTCAGTTGAGCGTCTGCCTTCAGCTCAGGTCATGATCCTGGGGTCCTGGGATCGAGCCCTGCATCAGGCTCCCTGCTTAGTGGAGAGGCTGCTGCTTCCTCTGCTTGTGTGCTCTCTCGCACTCTCTCTTTCTCTTTCTCTCTGTGTCAAATAAAATATATTTTTTTTTTTAAGATTTTATTTATTTATCCATAGACACAGAGAGAGAGGCAGAGACACAGGCAGAGGGAGAAGCAGGCTCCACGCATGGAGCCCGATGTGGGACTCGATCCCAGGTCCCCAGGATCACACCCCGGGCTGCAGGCGGCGCCAAACCGCTGCGCCACCGGGGCTGCCCTCAAATAAAATCTTAAAAATTAAAAAGAGGGTATCTCTGAGAGGCTCAGTGGTTTAGCACCTGCCTTTGGCCCAGGGCGATCCTGGAGTCCCGGGATCTAGTCCCACGTCAGCCTCCCAGCACGGAGCCTGCTTCTCCCTCTGCCTGTGTCTCTGCCTCCCTCTCTCTCTCTCTCTCTCTCTCTCTATCATGAATAAATAAATAAAATCTTTAAAAAACAAAAATTTAAAAAGAAATTGTTCATTTGGCGTAGGGATAAAGTGGCAGTGGTTGTTGAACTAAGGGTATTGATTGGTGTCTTTTTTTTCCTTAAAGATTTCTACTTAGTAATAAAAAGAATAAGAGAAACAGCCTGCAGTGAGGACAAATGTATTTTTAAAAATAGTATCCAGAGGGCAGCCCCGGTGGCTCAGCGGTTTAGCGCTGACTTCAGCCCAGGGCGTGACGCTGGAGTCCTGGGATCGAGTCCCACATCAGGCTCCCTGCATGGAACCTGCTTCTCTCTTTGCCTGTGTGTCTCTCTCTTTGTGTCTCTCTCTGTCTCTCTCTCTCTCTCTGTGTCTCTCATGAATAAATAAATAAAATCTTAAAAAAAAAAATAGTATCCAGAGGCCCCTAAATGGCTCAGCGAGTTGGGCTACCGACTTGATTTCAGCTGGGTTCCTGATGTCAAGGTTGTGAGATTGAACCCTGTGTTGGGCTCCACTCTCAGGAGAGAGTCTGCTTGAGGAGTCTCCCTTTTCCATTCTTGTGTACAATGCTCTCTCTCTTAAATAAATAAATCTTTTTTTTTTTTTTTTTAGAGATTTTATTTATTTACCATTCATTCATTCATTCATTCATGAAAGAGGCAGAGACATAGGTAGAGGGAGAAGCAGGCTCCCTGCGGGAAGCCCAGTGCAGAACTCAATCCTGGGACTCCTGGATCATGACCTGAGCCAAAAGCACTCAACCAGTGAGCCACCCAGATGCCCCTCTTGTTCTTTTCATAGATGATTTACATTCACACAAACCACATTCTATTATGATCACTTAGTCATCTAACCTTTACGCTTTTCGTTACCATTGTTTCTTCTCTGCATTCACTCCATAGGACATGTGAGAATTTAAACTTTTTTCTATAATCTTGTGATGACAGGTTATTATTTATAGGAGCTTCTCTGAATGGAAGTTGAAATGAAAGATTTTACAGAGCATATTTGAATTATTTACATCATACCTTTTTTCTAAGATTTTCTTTGAGAGAGTGTGCACACATGAACGGGAGGATCAGAATGAGAGGGACAGGAAGACTTCCCTTTGAGCCTGGAGCGTGACACAGCCTCAATCACATGACCCTGGGGCACCTGGGTGGCCCAGTGGTTGAGTGTCTGCCTTCAGCTCAGATCGTGATCCCGGGGTCCTGGGATCAAGTCCCACATCAGGCTCCCTGTGGGGAGCCTGCATCTCTGCCTATGTTTCTGCTCTCTCTGTGTGTCTACAATGAATAAATGAATAAAATATTAAAAAAAAATCGCAACACTGAGATCATGACCTGAGCCAAAATGAAGTCATACACTTAACAAAATTAACCACCCACGTGCCCGTATGTCAGATCAGTTTATTTATTTATTTATTTATTTTTATTTTTTATTTTTTTAAAAAGATTTTATTTATTTATTCATGAGAGACACAGAGAAAGAGAGAGAGAGAGGAAGAGATACAGGCAGAGGGAGAAGCAGGCTCCATGCAGAGAGCCCGATGTAGGACTTGATCCTCGGTCTCCAGGATCACGCCCTGGCGCTAAACCACTAAGCCACTGGGGCTGCCCAGATCAGTTTTTTTAAAAGATGTTTTTGTTTTGTTTTGTTTTTTAAAGATTTTATTTATTTATTCATGAGAGACACAGAGAGAGAGAGAGGGGCAGAGACACAGGCTGAGGGAGGAGCAGGCTCCATGCAGGGAGCCCGACATGGGACTCGATCCTAGGTCTCCAGGATCATGCCCGGGCTGAAGGCTGTGCTAAACCACTGAGCCACCAGGGCTGCCCAAAAGATGATTTTATTCTTGAAATTAGTCAGGAAAGTCATCCTTTGATAGTCAACCCATGGTAGTCTCCCTCATGCTTGCTCTAAAGCCAAGAGGATTGATAGACTCCTAAGTTCTGAGCTAACAGATTTTTTTTGTCTATTAGGGCCTTGATAATTCTTACAGTTTTTTTTCCTTCATAGGTACACCAGCTCGAGTGGTACCTAAACTAGCCAATGGCAAAGCAGCCAGAAGTAAGAGCAGCAGCAGCAGCAGCAGCAGCAGTAGTGATGACTCAGAGGAGGAGGAGGTGACAGCGGCCATACCTAAGAAGGTTTGGGCCATAACTTCCAGGGGACTGGGGGTGGGGGGTGAGTGTGTCTCTCATTTCCTGGCAGGATTCATTGGACTAGCTTTTTCCTGTGGTAACTAATTTCCTCTGTATGATGCAGATTGTACCTAAAAAGCAAGTTGTAGCCAAGTCCCCAGTGAAAGCAGCAGCCACCGCTACCCAAAAGAGTTCCAGCAGTGAGGACTCCTCCAGTGAGGAGGAGGAGGAGGAGGAAGAGCAGAAAAAACCCATGAAGAAAAAACCAGGTGACTGGGCATGGGAGTTAAGTAAGCTGCACGACTGCAGCCACTGTGTGAAACTTTCTGTAGAACTACCTGATATGACTGCTAGCTTTTCATGGAGAAAAGCGCATTGCCTTTTATAACCTAGATGCAGAAATACCATGCCATCCTCTCTGCCATATTCTGTTGGTTAGAAACGAGTCACTAGTTCTAGCCCACACTCAAAGGAAGAGGAATTAAGCTTCATTTCTAGAAGGGGGCAGTATCAGAATTTTTTTAGTTTTTTTTTTTTTTTTTTTTAAGATTTTATTTATTTATTCATGACAGACAGAGTGAGAGAGAGAGAGAGAGAGAGAGAGAGAGAGGCAGAGACACAGGCAGAGGGAGAAGCAGACCCCATGCAGGGAACCCGACATGGGACTTGATCCTGGGTCGCCAGGATCACACCCCGGGCTGAAGGTGGCGCTAAACTGCTCGCCACTGGGACTGCCCCAAGTTTTTTTTTTTTTTTTTTTAAGATCGATTTATTCACTTTTTAGAGATCCAGTGAGCAAGCACATGGAATGGGGGTGAAGGGAGGAGCAGAGGGAAAGGAAGAGGACCCCAAGTAGACTTCCTGCTGAGTGTGGAGCCCCTTGTAATCCTGAGAGCATGACCTGAGCCAAAATCAAGAGTCAGATTCTTAACCAACTGAGCCATCCATGCAGCCCTCAAAGAATTTTATACATATTTTAAAACCACGACACTTGTCTTTTTAAAACAGGTCCCTATAGTTCAGTCCCCCCACCTTCTGTTGCCCCATCCAAGAAGTCCCTGGGAACTCAGGCTCCCAAGAAAGCCACAGAGAAGAAACAGCCTGTGGAGAGCAGTGAGGACAGCAGTGATGAGTCTGGTGAGTCCCCATCTGTGGAGAATGGATCTGGGTAGTATGTGAGGAATATAGAAGACAAAAATGTCCTGTCCCTTTTGCTTTTCACTGAAGCAGGACAGGGCTTAATTTTCTGTGTGGGTCTTTGCATCCTCCTTTTTATTGCTTTTGATTGGGTTGGGACTCTGATCCCAGCCTAATGCCATAGGTTCTCTCCCAGATTCGAGTTCAGAGGAAGAAAAGAAACCCCCAGCTAAAGCAGTCATCTCTAAAGCAACCATTAAACCAGCTCCAGCAAAGAAAGAACAGAAAGAACCAGAGAGCTCTTCAGACAGCTCAGGTGAGGCATATGGAGGCCCTTAGGGCACTGGGAGTTCCAGGGGCTCTTTTAGTCGGATTCTGTTTATTCTTTGCTCTTTGTCTAGACTCTGACAGTTCTGAGGATGAAGCTCCTGCCAAGTCAGCTGGTACCACCAAGAATCTATCAAGTAGGCCAGTTACCACTCCCAAGCAACCTGCAGCTAAACCAGTCACAGCTCCCAAGCAACCTGCAGGTAGTGGCCAGAAGCCGCTGACCAGAAAGGCTGATAGCAGCTCCAGTGAAGAGGAGAGCAGCTCTAGTGAAGAGGAGAAAACAAAGAAGACTGTGGTCACCCCCAAGCCCAAGGCAGTGGCTAAAGCAGTTCCTTCTTTGCCTACCAAACAGGCTTCTCAGGGTGATGGGGACAGCAGCTCTGATTCAGATAGCACTAGCAGTGAGGAAGAGAAGATGTCAAAATCCCCAGTTAAAAAGAAGCCACAGAAGGTAACAAGAGTTGTAGCCTCTTCCAAGGCAGCTTCCACAAAGAAAGCAAAGGCTGAGAGCAGCAGCAGTTCTTCCTCTGATGATTCCAGTGAGGAAGAGGAAAAGGAGAAGCCTAAGGGCAAGGGCACTGTAAGGCCACAAGCCCTCAAGACCAATGGGACCTCTGCACTGACTACCCAGAATGGAAAGGCAGACAGAGATAGCAATGAGGAAGAAGAAGAAAAGAAAAAGGCAGTAGTAGCAGTTTCTAAGCCAGGTCTGTATCCAAAGAATCTGCCTTCCTGGTTTGTTCCCTCAAATACTGATGGGCTCTACATGGGGGAATAGGGTAGGGAGAGGAGGCCCACAATTAGGCTTCCAGTTGTATGCCCTCATTGTGAAAATCTAGGAGGAGGAACAGGAAGCTGGTCTCCTGAGTCTGGCTTTTATTTTGTAGGTTCAGGGAAGAAGCGGAAGCAGAATGAGGCTGCCAAGGAGGCAGAGACTCCTCAAGCCAAGAAGATAAAGCCCCAGACCCCCAACACATTTCCAAAAAGGAAGAAAGTAAGTTACCTTATTTTCTTTTCAGGAGCTAGGCTTTGTTTGTTTTCAATTTTATTTATTTTTTTTCAAGTTTTTGTTTGTTTGTTTGTTTGTTTGTTTATTTATTTATTTATTTATTTATTTATTTATTTATTTATTTATTTATTTATGAGAGAGAGAGGCAGAGACCCAGGCAGAGGGAGAAGCAGGCTCCCTGCAGGGAGCCTGATGCGGGACTCTATCCCAGGACTCCAGGATCACGCCCTGGGCTGAAGACAAGCGCTAAACTACTGAGCCACCCAGGGATCCCATTTTTATTTATTTATTTGGCAGAGCACGCAAGCAGGTGGAGTGGGAGAGGGAGAAGCAGACTCTCTGCTGAGCAGGGAGCCCAATGCGGCGCTCCATCCCAGGACTCTGAGACCGTGGCCTGAACCGAAGGCAGGCGCTTCACTGACTTAGCCGCCCAGGCACCCCAGACTCTGCCTTATTTTTTAGTTAAAAAAAAAAAAGAAAAAGATTTTTAAAATTTGTTTATTCATGAGAGACAGAGAAAGAGAGGCAGAGACATAGGCAGAGGGAGAAGCAGGCTCCCTGCAGGAAGCCCAATGTGGGACTCGATCCCAAACCCTGGCAGCATGACCAGAGCCAAAGGCAGATGCTCAACCACTGAGACACGCAGGTACTCTAGGAGTCAGCCTTTAAAGAATAGAAAGAAAGTGGCACCTGGGTGGCTTAAGTTGGTTAAGCGTCTTGACTCTTGATTCCCCCTCTTGGTAGTGACCTCTGGGTCAGGAGGTTGAGCCCCATGTGTGCTCAGCTCAGAGTCTGCTTGAGATTCTCTCTCTCCCTCTGCCCCTCACCCCATCCTCCCCCTTCACCACCATCCCTAGTCAGTGAGTCAGTCAGTCAGTCTTTAAAGAAGTAGAAAAACCTGGGATCATCTTGACAGCTCTCTGCCTGATCTGGCATGCATGTACATGTGTATCTAAGGAGAGCTTTTCTGTTTAAGTGGCTCCTCCGTCTTTAATTTCGTAATTCCCTTTCCAGGGAGAGAAAAGGGCATCATCCCCATTCCGAAGGATCAGGGAGGAGGAAATTGAGGTAGATGCTCGAGTGGCAGACAATTCCTTTGATGCCAAGGTGAGGAGGGGAGAGGGTGTTGGCCGTCCCTGAGGGCAAAGGGTGGAAGAGAGGACAACTTTTTGGTTTGGGTTGCCTTGAGCAGGAAGATGAACATAACAGGGCCTTGGGGTCATCCTTCTCTGTACTAACCCCTTCTCTGCCTACCAGCGGGGTGCAGCTGGAGACTGGGGGGAGCGCGCCAATCAGGTTCTGAAGTTCACCAAAGGCAAATCGTTCCGGCATGAGAAAACCAAGAAGAAGCGGGGCAGCTATCGGGGAGGCTCCATCTCCGTCCAGGTCAATTCCGTTAAATTTGACAGCGAGTGACCTGGGGCCATCTGTGGCGAAGCAGGGGTGAGGATCTGAGACCATCGACTTTCCCCAGCGGACCTGGGAAACCCTCAGCTCTCTTAAGAAAGGTTCTCGGTGAGGACAGCCATTTAGAATAGGTCTGAAGACTTTGTATCGTAACATCCTCTCTGGTCCTTTTCTGGTGTCCATAGTTTTCTACAGATTTGTTTTTGAGTGTTGAGTAGCAAAGACAACATAAGGGGCGTGTTGTGTTCCTTTTTAAGAAAAGGAAAAATTTTAGTTCTTGTCCCCTTCTCCCTATCCTGTGGAAGTCCTCATACTGAGAAATTTGTATATTTTATATTAAATCATTTCCTGTTGATTTTTGTTATTTTCACAGGTGGGTTCTCACAGATAAAATCTTAGCTCTTGCCCAAGACATAGTAAAAGTCACATGGATGAGTTTTTATAATTGGAGAATTGTGCCTATTGTGCACGTGTCCACCTTTCATCCGTCCTACCCCTCATAGCTTTGGAAAAGGGCAGTTAAGAATGGTTAGTGTATATGTTTGCTAAGCATGCACTGTGTAGTTCATCCTCATTCATGGGATGTAGGACTGATGTTTTCAGCGAGCATGGACTTAACTACTTTTTGGGATAAAATTCACTTGTTGCAGGCAAAATTCTGGTGTAATGTGAATGCCATAGGGTTAATCTGAATATTTTGTTTTCTGTAATTTTAACATTATCTAATGTTTGCAATACATGTTTAGTTTTTTAATTTGAAAGCATAAACTTTTCTATTGTTCAAAGACTTTTTTTGATGGCCCCTAATAGTACTAAATTGAGGACTGCATTTTCTTGTTTTTTACATTTTAGAGAACAAAATAACATTAATCTGAACATACACATGACTTGGTATTTCTGTTTCAGTAACAGTAGTGACACAAAATGAGTTTCATTAACTCCTGTGTGGTTGGAAATCACCGATCAAGAAAGCGAAAGAATAAAAACTCTAATTAAAAACGTCAATTAGGAATTAGGTTACATTTGTCAGATGAATTTATAGGTAACCTGTGTGCTAATGGAAACGGGAAGAACCTTTATAAAGCATATTAGGTGGTAAAACTTGAGTAGGGTGGGGTTGGGAAAGCATTCCAACGAAATTGTTGTGTCTTCTAGTTGGAACATGGGAGTAATTGATGTGCCCCTTTCAGTACCTTAACTGTCAGTAACAGTAGAGGTAACAGTAAAAGCCAGTGGTCATCAATAGGACTCTGAGATCAAGCTGACTGATCCTAAAGCTGTAGATGACAGTGCTTGGTTGGAACCAAGATGGGGAAGGAAGAGGCAATAACAAAACTGGAGGCTGGGCTGTTCCTGTGGTGGGAAAATGTGCCCTAGCTTCATGGATGGGGCAAGTGTAGGTTTTAAGATTGGCCTCCCCTTGTTTGGATTTCATACTCCCAAGTAACTTGATAATAACTTGGTTTTCCATGTAACTGCTTTGGGAAGAACATGCACCGTTCATGCTGATATAGGTACATCAGTCTGCATGGTAAAAGTTATCCACCTTACTACAAAATAATAAACTGGCTGGTTTATAATGTGTCTTGGGAGTTTTTTATTGTGAGTCTAGAGCCCTCCCACCTTCTCAAACCAGAACAACTTGGATGCAGTTAGAGGGCTGGAGTGAAGACCTGTGAGTTCACTGCAGAACCTTCTTAGCAGCAGCTTGCTGGCTTTTCTTGACCATACCTTGTCTCAGGGTTCCTTGTTCAGGCAGTAGTCCAGATTGTATGTAGTCTAAACTGGGGTTTGGCAAAATGGCCTATGGGTGAGTACAGTCTGAGGCTTGTTTTTGTAATGCTTAGGCACTGAGAATGGTTACTTTTTTTATTAAAATACTTTTTTTTTTTTAAATGTATAATCTTTACTTAGCTCTTGTAAACCTTTTTATTTTTTAGAGAGGGACACCTGGGTGGCTCAGTGGTTTAGCATCTGCCTTCTGCTTAGGGTGTGATCCCAGTCTGGGGATGGAGTCCCATATCGGGCTCCCTTGCAAGGAGCCTGCTTCTCCCTCTGCCTGTGTGTCTGCCTCTCTCTCTGTGTCTCTCATAAATAAATAAATAAAATATTTTTTAAAAATCAGATGCTTAACTGACTGAGCCACCCAGGCATCCCCAAGAATGGTTTTTACATTTTAACTTTATTTTTTAAAATTTATGCATTTAAGAGAGAGAAAGCACACAAAGGGAGAGGGAGAAACAGACTCCTCACTGAGCAAGGAGTCCGATGTGGGGCTCTATCCCAGGACCCTGGGATCATGACCAGAGCCAAAGGCAACCGCTTAACTGAGCCACCCAGACACCCCTATTGGTTTGTTTTAAAGTAGGCACCACACCCAATATGGGCTTGGTTTTTTTACATTTTATAAGTTCTAAGAATATGTGGTTGACTTCATGTGGCTCCCAGGGCCTACAGTGTATACTAACTGGCCCTCTGTGGAAAACGTTTACTAATTCATGGTCTAAATCAGTGATTTCACAACAGTGGCTGAAAATTAGAATCATCTGGGAGAACTTTTAAAACTTTTGATACCCAAAGGCCCATCCCAGACCAGCTGAGTCAGACCCTGGTGTTGTCTGGTGGGGCCTGGATATTAGGATTTTTAATTTTTTAAGTGCCTGGGTGATTCTAGTGAGCAGCTGAAGTTGAAAACCACTAATCTAAAGAGTGTTTGAAAATAATTGAATTGGGGTGCCTTTGTGGTTCAGTCAGTTGATCTCGTCTGACTCTTGGTTTCTGCTCAGGTCATGATCACATGGGTCATGGGATCCAGCCCTGTGTCTGCTCTGCTGTGGGAGTCTGTTGGAGGTCTCTCCCTCTGCTCTCAGGCATGCGGTATCTCTAAAAAAAATAAATCTTTTTTAAAAAAAGAATTGATATTTTTTCATTCCTCTCATGCTTTCATTTTCAAATATACTTGTAAATCTAATAGTATAAAGTGAAAATTAAATTTACATCTTAGCTCTGTTTCCTGGGACTTGATTCTGTGTCTTCACAATTTCTCTAAATGTGCTGTTATATGCTTCCACTCATCTCTTTCCTTACACAAATGAGGTATCTTGCTATTTGCAGTGTTTTAAGTTTGGAGTTCATTTCCTAACACAGCAGTTCATTTTTAATAGCTGTCATGGTACTCCTTTATATGGAAAAAGTACAAGTTTAATAAGTAAGTATTCAAAGCAGTAACTTATTTATGTTAAGTTGTTTTTTTTTTAGCATTTCGCTACTACAAACAGCCACAGTGGTTGTTATTATTATTATTTTTTATTTTTTATTTTTTAAGTAAACTCTACCCCCAGTGTGGGGCATTCATGACCCCGAGATCAAGAGTCACATGTTCCTCTGAGCCAGTCAAGGGCCCTGCACAGTGAATATTCCTCTATATGAAACAGTATCTGGATTTTTTTAATTTTTTATTTTTTACAAATTCTTTTTTTTTTTTTTTTAAGATTTTATTTTTTTATTCATGAGAGAGAGGCAGAGACACAGGCAGCGGGAGAAGCAGGCTCCACGCAGGGAGGCAGGGAGCCTGATGCGGGACTCGATCCTGGGACTCCAGGATCATGCCCTGGCCCGGATCACACCCTGGCCCGAAGGCAGGCGCTAAACTGCTGAGCCACCCAGGGATTCCTACAAAAGTTTATTCTTAATTGTACAATAGGATCTGAGACCTCACTCAATCTAGCTATAGACAGCAACAGATGCTGTGATAGGAAGGCCAGATGTTTAAACAAGGAATTAAGGATCATCATTTCCTCAGGCACAAGGAACAGCTTTTTTTTTTTTTTTTAAGATTTTATTTATTCATGAGAGAGAGGCAGAAACACAGGCAGCGGGAGAAGCAGGCTCCATGCAGGAAGCCCCACATGGGATCCCAGGACTCCAGAATCACGCCCTGAGCCAAAGGCAGTTGCTCAACCACTAAGCCACCCAGGCATCCCTTTGCCACATTTCTTAATTCCACTTTTGGCCAGGGGGCTCTTCCCATGGCCTTTGCTTCTGGCTCCTCCTTGAGTTTCCTTTGTTCCTCTCTTTCTCTGCTTGAATGCCTTATCTTCCTCACCCATCTCCTTGGCCTGCTTGCTGCTTGGGTAGCTTCAGGGATTTCTTGTCACTCTTGTGGCCAAACATGGCACCTGCTGCTCTGTGAGGTTATTTTTTATAGGAAATACTCTAAAAGTGATTGCTAAGTCAAAGGATAGGTATGTTTGACATTTTGATTATTTTTGCCCTCCAAACCCATTGCACTAGTTTGTAGTTCCAGTAACAGTTTATTAAAGTACTTGGCCATTTTCCCCTACATTTGGGTAAATGAAAGTGCTGTCTCTCTCTTTAAAACGTTTTGTTTTAGTTTTTATTAGATCAGGTAAGGTACACATAACCTTTGCCACTTGTAACCATTTTATTTTATCATTTTAAGTAATCTCGACCCCCAACATGGGGTTCAAATTCATGACCTGGAGATCAAGAATCATATGCTCTACTGACTGAGCCAACCAAATGTCCCAGGTCTGTCTGTCTGTCTGTTTTTTTTTTTTTTAAGATTTTATTTATTCATGAGAGACACATAGAGAGGCAGAGACACAGGCAGAGGGAGAAGCAGGCTCCATGCCGGGAGCCCAACGCGGGACTCGATCCTGGGACTCCAGGATCGTGCCCTGGGCCAAAGGCAGGCGCGCCAAACCGCTGAGCCACCCAGGGATCCCCTCTTTCGTTTTTTAAAGATTTTTATTTGTTCATGAGAGGCAGAGACAGGCAGAGGGAGAAGCAGGCACCATGCAGGGAGCCCAATGTGGGACTCAATCCCAGAACCCCAGGAGCACTCCCAGAGCTGAAGGCAGACGTGCTTAACCCCTGAGCCACCCACACATCCCCCATGTCTCTTTTTTAAAAAATTGTGGTTAAAAAAAACCATGAAGTTTACCATCTTAATTATTTTATTAGCATGAGTAGAGGGGAGAGGCAGAGGGAGAAGCAGGCCTAATCCCTGGGGTCCTGACAGGAGAGGCAGAGGGAGAAGCAGGCCTGATGAGGGACTCTATCCCAAGACTCGGGTCATGACGTGTGCCAAAGGCAGCCACTAACCAACTGAGCCACTCAGGTACCTTTAATTATTATTAATTATTATTTAGGATTTTATTTATTCATTCATGAGAGACACAGAGAGGCAGAGACCTAGGCAAAGGGAGAAGCAGGCTCCACGCAGGGAGCTCCATGCAGGACTCAATCACGCCCAAGCTGAAGGGAGACAGCCACTGCTGAGCCACTCAGGCATCCCCTTAATGACTTTTTTTTTTTCCTTAATGACTTTTTTAAATTGAAGTATAGTTGACATACATTATTAGTTTCAGGTGTACAACATACAATTCAACATTTATATTCATTATAATTTTTCAAGATTTACTTTAGAGCATGGAGGGGCAGACTCCCCACTTAGCATGGTGCCTGATGCAGGGCTCAATCCCGTGGCCCATGAGTTGAAGACCTGAGCAGAAATCAAGAGTTAGATGCTGGGGATCCCTGGGTGGCGCAGCAGTTTGGCGCCTGCCTTTGGCCCAGGGCACGATCCTGGAGATCCAGGATTGACTCCCATGTCAGGCTCCCGGTGCATGGAGCTTGCTTCTCCCTCTGTCTGTGTCTCTGCCTCTCTCTCTCTCTGTGACTATCATAAAAAAAAAAAAAAAAAGAGAGAGAGAGAGATGCTTAACTTTAATAGGCTGAGCCACCCAGGTGCCCTTAATATACATTATGAAGTGATCACAAGTCTAGCTACCGTCTGTCACCGTACAGTTATTTCAATATTATTGACTGTATTCTGTATGTTGTACTTTATATGCCCGTGACTTATTTATTTTATAACTGGAAGCTTGTACCCTTTAATCCCCTTTCTATTTTGCCCATGCCCCCATTCTTCATTCTGGCAACGACCAGTATTCTTTGTAATTTTGTTTTTTAAGATTTATTTATTTTAAAGATAGTATGCGTGCTCAAGTGAATGGGGAGAGGCGAGGGAGAGAAAATCTTAAGCAGACGCAACACTAAGCAGTGGAGCCCGACAAGGTTGTCCCATGACCTGAGTTGGAACTGAGAGTCAAGTCAGAGGCTTAACCAACTGTGCCTCCCAGATGCCCCTGTTCTCTGTATTCTTTTTTTTTTTTTAAGATTTTACTTATTCATGAGAGACACAGAGAGGCAGAGACATAGGCAGAGGAAGAAGCAGGCTCCTTGCCGAGAGCAAGGACCCCAGTATCACGACTCAAGCCAAAGGCAGACACTCAACCAGTTTACCACCCAGGTGCTCCTCTGTATTTTTGAGTCTGTTTCTGTTTAGTTGTTTCCTCGATTCTACATATAAGTGAAATCATAAAGTATTTGTCTTTCTCTGTGTGACTTATTTCATTTAGCATAATATCCTTTTGATCTCATGTTGCAAATAGCAAGATGCAACTTTTTTTATGGCTGAGTATATGTATATACACACACACACATACACTGTATATAAACACACTACACCTTTATCCATTAATCAATTGGTGGATA